CTTAAGTGGCAATTTGATTGGACTGATATATTTGGCCCTTTGCTCGAAGTGAGCGTTCAAAGTGGCCCCGAATTGCTTTAACTTATTTTTCACACTCGAACCCCCTATCGATTGTATTCAAAAGTTTCATTATAGATTTTAAAATGATTTTTTAGGCAATCATTAGTTTTGCATTTTTATTATATTAATAAATTAGTGAAATTTTTTATAACTAAATATCAACGTTATAATTGTCTAAATCAGACAACACTACACATACCGGCAATTGGATTAATTGATTAGTTTATAATACAATTAATTGCTGTAATATTAAATACAATACATTCATACAAAGCATATTAAAATTAATGTTATACAAGAATCTATAGATTCTCTATAGAGAATTGTCGTCATTGATAGTTACATAAAACGTTAGATTTGTTAGATTTAATCCATTAAAAAATATATGTATCATTTTAAAAATTGTTATATTTGTAATTTTACAATTAACAATTCGTTGAAACATTTTACAATCAAAATACATTCATAAAAGGCTAGATTTAGTTTATGAACTAAATTAGCACAAATTAAAGTGTCATTAATTAAAGGCAAACGTGCAATAAGAACGTGTTAATTATGACTCAAACAAAGACACACCAGATATAAGGGCTGCTTTTTCTGCCTCCCTCTCAGCCTTTTGTTTGGCTGTAAAGGCGTCGTCAATATTGGTTTCCTTAAGTCCTCCGCTGCCTCTAATCTCGTCGTTATATTCTTGTAATTGTCTCATAAAACCATCGTTTGGTTTAGAGAATGGACGCGCTTCTCGTATCTATACATCAAATAATAAACAAAAATTACATTAATTGTCATAATATTGCATAACATTTACTCAAAAATATACTTTTAAATTACATGTACAAGTAATTCTGTGCTCATTATAATTATCTAAAGTACAGCATATGTTAATAAATTGAGTAGAAATTGAGGATAAGTTTAGATTTATATAACTTGTGTGCTCTTACAATTATCTTGTTAGATTTATTCCAATATATTGTACATTATGTTAAGATACGGTATAATTGTTTGCAACAAATAAATACAACACTTACAGCATTGAGAGCATCGGTAAAAGTCATTTTCTCTTTGGTCATCAGATAAGCCGTACAAATGGCTGTACTTCTGGAGACACCGGCGTTGCAGTGAACCAAACAATTGCCGTAATGTCTGCCCTCATCGATGAATTCAAAGCATTCTTCGAAATACGTTCTAATGTCGGTCTCCGGGACGTCAAGGATCTCAATCTTCTTGTAATTGTAGTCATCTTCGAAGCAGTTGTTCACTCCATACGCGAGATTCAAGATATGTGTGATTTCATAGGCCTGTAGTGTTGGCTTGTCTTGAGCCACATCTTGCGATGCTATCAATACATCAATTCATTCATTAGTTTTCGCTACTCTTATGAAACTCATTAAAATCTAACTAAAACTAACATTAAGTTTCATTTAAGTTTAAAACA